ATGAATAAGCTCAAGTGAATTACACGGTGATGGAAAAAGAGTTGCTAGCATTTGTGTTTGCAATGGAGAAGTTTAGGCCTTATCTCTTGGGTGCCAAGGTGATAGTTCATACTGACCATGCAGCACTCCGCTATTTGATGATAAAGAAGGATTCCAAAGCTCGGTTGATGAGATGGGTTCTATTGCTTCAAGAGTTTGACCTTGAGATTGTTGATCGAAAAGGGTGTGAAAACCAAGTGACGGACCACTTGTCCCGCTTGGAGGAGGCGGGGAGGCCCTGTGATGGCCTCGAAATTAATGATTCATTCCCTGATGAGCAACTCCTCTCTGTATCTGTGAATAGCAGGCCTTGGTTCACGGATGTTGCCAACTTTCTTGTGACCGGTATTGTTCCGTGTGAGCTCTCTTCTAACCAAAGGAAGAAGCTTAAACGAGATAACTTGGACTACTACTGGGATGAGCCTTACTTGTTCAAAATCTATAATGATGGTGTGATCCGGAGATGTGTTCCGGAAGAGGATAAAATGAGTATTCTGGATGCTTGTCATTCCTCTCCCTACGGTGGTCATCATGGTGGGGCGAGGACAGCTTTAAAAGTGCTTATCTGTGTTTTTTATTGGCCTACATTGTACAAGGATGCGAGTGAACTTGTGAAGAAATGTGATGAGTGTCAGAGAGCAGGTGGAATTTCAAAGAAGGATGAGATGTCTCTCACCACTATTCTTGAGGTATACATATTTGATGTGTGGGGCATTGATTTCATGGGACCTTTTGTGAGTTCATGTGGCAACACATACATTCTGGTTGTCGTTGATTATGTTTCCAAGTGGGTTCAGGTCGTGGCTTTACCCAACAACGAGGCCCAGAGTGTGGTGGATTTTCTCAAGAAGAATATCTTTACTCAGTTTGGCACTCCTAGAGCAATCATCAGTGATGGGGGTTCTCATTTCTGCAATAAGGCATTTGACACTTTGCTTGCAAAGTATGGTGTCAATCACAAGGTTTCAAACCCTTACCATCCTTAGGCTAGTGGGCAAGTTGAGGTCTCCAACAGGGAGATTAAGAGCATATTGGCAAAGACTGTCAATGCAAATAGGACTGACTGGTCAAAGAAACTGGATGATGCTTTGTGGGCTTAAAGGACTCCTTACAAAACTCCGATTGGTATGTCTCCTTACCGGTTGGTGTTTGGAAAAGCTTTCCATCTCCCGGTTGAGTTAGAGCACAAGGCCATGTGGGCTTTGAGAAAGTTAAACCTTGAATGGGATGTTGCAGCAAATCTCCGGGTGGAGCAACTCAATGAGCTTGATAAGTTCTGGTTTCATACCTATTCCAGCTTGTCCTTGTATAAGGACAAGATGAAGTACTTACATGACAAGTATGCCCATAGCAACGAATTCATGGAAGGTGACCTGGTTCTTTTATTCAACTCCCGGTTACGACTGTTTCGGGGAAATCTCAAGTCAATGGAATGGACCTTTTGAGGTGGTGCTTGTAACTCCGTTTGGTGCTCTTGATTTGAAGAAAAAAAATGGTGAAATCTTCTGAGTTAATGGGCACAGAATGAAGCACTATCTTGGCAAGTTTGATGACAGCCACGTGATGGCAATGATCCATCTCGAATGATTTATGGTAACGTGCGTCCTGCCGCAACATTAAATCAGGCGCTTCTTGGGAGGCAACCCATGTGTTTTTCTTCTTTTTGATTTTCTTCTTAGTGTAGGACTTGTTTTGAACTAACTGGGTGTGAGATAAGTGTAGGAATGTTTGATGCAGTGCAGGACAAAGCTGAAAAAATTTGGCAACTGTCTGAAGTTGGACCGTTGACAGCGCTCGATTTTCCGCTGTCAGCGGTGCCTTATCGCGGAGGCTGAAATTGGCGGCGGACGCGGGATTGAAATGTCCAAAATGAGACTTCTCTGAAGTTTCAACCGCGTCCGCGGTGCATTCTTCACGGTCAGCGGTGCCTAACAGCGGCCGTGTACCATTTACCGATCTCAGCGGTAGTTTAAGTCAAGCAAGACTTCTTTTCTTCACAAGCGCGGACCGCGGCCGCGCTAGGTAAGTTTTGTGGGCCCCAGGGTATTTTCTATAAATATGAGATCCTTAAGCCTTTTACCCTTTTCGCTCATTTGACTCCCAAACTAAAATTGTCACTGTTCATCCACGCCCTAATCTGCAAAACACAAAATTAGAGTCCATCTTCATCGCACATTACTCATTTGGTAAAAGTCATTCCTTCATTATTCTTCAATTTTGTATTTGTTTTTCTTTTAACTGTTAGTTTTTACTGCTTCGTCTTCTTTTCTTTTAATTTTGACCTAGGGTTCACTAGTGCTAATTACATTAAGCTTAAATAACTAGGATTTATGACTTAATAGCTAGTTGAGGTTAATAGTATAGATAACAACTACTAAATACGTGAAAAATTGGAACCCTAGGATTGCTGAGGCCAATTTTGATTTCTGCGGACAGCGCTCATGAATTATATCTGAGTTGGAGGTCTTGATAACCGCGGTCAGCGGTGGACTTTTTCGCTGACAGCGGTCCAACTACCGCGGCCGCACTTCTTTTCTCGCGGTCAGCGGTGCTTAGGTTCAGAGAGGCAAATAACATGGGTCTGCTGCCGCGGTTGATTTTCCGCGGACAGCGGTAGTATAGAATCAGAGGGTGGGTAGTCTGATCCCCACACCTCCGCGGCCGCGATGCATTTTTCGCGGTCAGCGGTCTGCAACTTTTTCTGTAAATTGTTCTTCTGCTTTTTTTCACTGCTTCTTCTAGCACCAGTACTAACACTGTTCCACTGATTATGTTTGCAGACAATGATTAAATCTAGAGGTGGCGGTGAAAAACAAAAGGGGAAACCAGAGTCCTCCCGGGGTAGGGGACGAGGACAAACTAAGTTAACCCCTGCAATAAGGAAATCCATTGGGCAAATGAGGAAGAACATTCGAGCTGCAGACAGAGCTGCTTCCCACTCTGAGGGGAGTGAGTAATACCCTCCCGGGAGGCCTCAGAGACTGACTCGGTGCCTACACATATAGCAGACTTTCCGGGGAGGTTTCACTTGACAGATGAGCCCACACCCCCAGCCTCTCCTACTTCTCCTGCTGCTTCTGAGTCGTCTGATGGCTCAGCGGAGAGTAGCGAGTCCTCAGCTTCAGCCTCACCTACAGCTTCGTCACCGGAACATGATCCCATAGATGTAGATGCTGAGGTACCGGATGACGGGAGAGGGGGTGATACCCAGACCAGAGGTGTGGAAAGGACAAGAAACCCAGAGGTTTGGCAACAGAGGTTTGTCAATGAACTGGCATACCATAAATTCAGGGAGTGGTGGCCTCAGAAGTCCCTAATTCATAAGCGTCAGCTTATAGAGCGGGACCCTATGCCCCACAACCCCAATGTGAAGCAGCACTTCAATGAAAGAGTGGGATGGGAGTACTTCACCAGCAAGGTGCCGGATGCTAATGAGCACCTAGTCAAGGAATTCTACGCCAATTCCTCCCACATCAAAAGGGGCACAAAAGTGACTAAGGTGCGGAACCTGAAGGTCAAGTTTGATGGGAAGACGATCAATGATTATCTTGGATTCAATGATGAAGATGAATCACTGTACTTAGAATCTAGTATGAAATTGTACAATCCTATTCCGTGATTTGCGCCATGACTTTGGGGACGTGGCACGAATCCAGGTCGTTCTAGTACAAATTCATAACAGTACTATTTCGGGGTAGAACACACCCGACCTCGGTATGCATCGTGTTTCGCCTTCGAACTCGGGTCTGGTCCCTCGAGCTCGAACCTGGCCTTACCCGGACTCGGAATTCGGACGACCTCCCAAGTGTATAGACGAAGGCATACGATCTCGACCGTATACAAATTACTAATTATAAATATGACTATTTCTGATTTTTTCCCGGAAAGTTCTCCTTCATCTCGTCAAGGTAAATTTACTAATAAATATATAATCCGTGTTTTGGTGTAAACGTTCCATATGGGTATATTTTTTACCTTCCAGTCACGCTCCTAATTGGTCATTTTGCAGATGTAAATATGCTATCATTTTATTTCTTTTATAATTTTGTCTCAAATGCATTTTTATTTCTTTTACAAAATCATAAACAACTCCTAAAAAGAAATAAATTTATATTACTCCCTCTTTTTCTAAATAAAATGTTATACAAGCAACTAGAACTTTACCATTGATTTATTATATTATTATTATACTTTCACGAGATATTCATCTAAAATAATGTTAGATCTTACTCTTGCAAATTTCGAGAGGACATAATTATTCATTTGGTTGGACTAAAGGTATCATGATAGTCTAACTTTTAGTTTACAAAAGGGAGGTTATAAGAAACACACACAGTCCTCTTATTAGAAAAGGTATTCCTTTTTCATTGTATACTAAAATATTATCTACGCCATTATTTATCCGACATCAATGGTTTCTAAGCGTGTCTTTGGTATATTACGGTAATATATTTATAATAAAATCACTTTTTTGGTGTTTGATTATTAAGAGCTCGTTTGGATGGACTTATTTTAAATGACTTTTAAGTCAAAAAACTTTAATCCATAAATTAGGGATTCTAATTTTTGACTTTTGGGCACCGAATAAATCGAAAAGGTGAACTCCTAACTTATGGCTTAAAAGCCAAAAGCCAGACCGAATAAATCGAAACCAAAAGGAGAAAAGCCGAACCATACCGAATTTAATTAGGCATCGTAGTGATATAACATTTTAAGAAGCCGAAAATACCGCACCAAAATGGCTAAATATCGTGTCGTACCGACTGGCGAACATCCCTGCTGAAATTAATGATCCTCAAATTATGTAGTACTGGTGTTTGGTTCATATATAAAAAAAATAAGATATGCTATGTATAGTCTAAACTAGGATAAAGTTTATTTTAAAATAAACTTTACCTTGTATATGGGCGAATCATATGTCACGACCCAATTTAGAATCATGACCGGTGCTTAGGAGCAAGTGCCACCAAGTAAGCCTCATCGATATTTTACATAAAATCGGATAGAGTTTCCCCTATTTTTGGACTATCCACACATCACCTGACTCAGAAAGTAGCCACAAAACCAACCAATATCCAACAAAACAACTCATAATCTTCATCGACTACCCAGTCAGATCTCCATCACTATTAATCAACCACTTGTAAGTCTGTGATACTAAATCTATCTCTAACATACGATAAGAAAGTACGATCTAGTGAACAAGTCGAAGACGATAATTTATACACATGGCACTATTAAAATGACTATGGAGCAACACTAAGAGTTTTAAAGAAAAGGACAATAACCATTAAATAAACTCTTTGCCCACGCGAAGCAATGCGGGACTCACCATAATTGCCAACTCGTACGCTCTAGCTAACAAAATCCTTGCATGATTAAACTGTTGTCTCTGTAAAAAATATAGCGGGGAGTGAGACGCTAGCTCAGTGAGTAAGAACACTTAACCATAATAGTTTTTAATAGGGACAAGTCAGAAAACATGCCAGTATAAGAAAGTATCTTAAGAATGCCCTTTCAGAAACAATAAACAATAATCATCCTCATCATGCGTTTCCTGTAATAAAAATCAATTTAATAATTCGGCAATAAACTCAATAAGCACTCTGTCATATCAAATCTTTATGTTTGGGAGATTTTCAAGAAAGGATCATGTAATCTGTATCACTGTGTGGAGCCCTTCGTAAAACATGTCTAGTAACGGTGAGAACATCTTAAATAACTGTAAACATCTCAAGTAAATTGTTCAGTATTATACCAAGTAAAGGACTTGTCCCACATGCAATTTAAATGTTCGGTAAAACATCTTGTTTTCAAAATCATGTATAAACCATGCAGGTTATAGAAAAATAAATTGCGGTAAGATTACTACTCACAGTACTCGTGCAGGAATACCAAATACGTCACCTCGATCACTTCGTCTCACCTCTTCAACTACCTACTTGTAACAATATCAATCTATGTATTAACTTCGTGAAGTACCAAAATAATTGGTCCTTCCTTATCACCTTTAATAAATTTCCCTATTTTCATTTCTCTTAAATATGACCAGTGATTCTCTGCTAAGCAATTTATTAGTACTTAAATGAATAGAAACTATAGTTCTCTATTTGTTCTTATATTTTTTAATCTTTTTCTCATGTAGTACTTTAAAAGTATTGCTAACTTGTACATTAGAGTTCTTGGTATAAACTAGTAGAATATATTACTTTTCAATATTCATAGGAAATTCATGATTGTGGTAAATAAAAAGAACACCTTAAGTTTCTTGTTTCTTTCCATTACAGTGATATACCAAACTAAATCTTAATATAGTAATTTATCTCAAATCTGATAAAGTTTAATATATATACCCATTTAAGTATTAAACTGTTTTTTTTTTCTTCACATATTATTTTTTCTACTCTAAGCAATGAACCAAACCAGAAAAAGACATTAATTTTCCATAATAATTCTCATAGCTATTTAATCTTTCAGTACCCCATTCGATGTATATAAATCAGAGAACAAGAGCAAGAACATTATCGAGAACTTACCCTCCTTGGCTGAAAGAGATCGGAAACAATAAGAGCTTCTTACTTCTCTGTTTCAATTGGTTGAGTATGCTTAGAATGCTTTTTGATAAAAGAAAAATTCCTATTGCACAAAACTCTTGGTTGCTTTCTCTGTTTCGCAGGAGCTCTAAAGCTCTGTTGGATTTTTCCCAATTTTTGGTTCAATAATTTCACTCCTAAAAGATTAAGGACCCTAATCCCTGTTATTTTGTTTATTTTTCCTTGTCTGATGCTATTCACGTTTTTGTGGGCTAAGGCCCACTTTGTATTCTTTTTTTTAAGCTAAAGTATTACATTCTCCTTGCCTTATAGATGAGGATACTTGACTCGCTTAGTATCTTCTACTTTCCATGTAGCTTTTTTAATTGTACGGTTTCTCCATAAGGCTTTCACGAACACAATTTCTTTTGATTGTAGCTTTCTTACTTGTCTATCAACTTTCTTACTTGTCTTACTTGTGTAATTGGTGCTTCAAGCACATGAGAAGAGTCCAATATACATTTTTTTAATCGAAATATGGAACACTAGATAGAAAGAAAAATAACTTTCATCCCAACAAGTATCTATTATAATCTTATAAACCTTGGATTTATCTTCCCTCTTTCTCTAAATTGCATCACGTCTTTCAAAAGGGAGACTCGTATGATCACTCGGTCTCTAGCTATAAATTCTAAGTCTATTTTTTCTCTTATTTGCACAAGACTTTTGTCTGCTTTGTGATGTAAGTAATGTATTTCTGATTAACTGAGCCTTATCAATAGCTTCTTATACTACTAAGTCTGAATCCAATACCTTAGCCACATTGTTTTTAGTCATCTAATAAGGGAGCGACATCAACACAACGTTTCATGCGATGCCATCTTAATGCTCTAACTGAAAGCTATCTTAGAAACTACATTCAAGCTTTCAAAATATCCTCCAAGATTTGTGTAGTACGCTTAGACTGCCTGTTTGTCTACAGATGAAATGTAATACTATGATCTACTCGTGTATTGTGATGATCGCCAGTGATAATGGACACAGAAATCTCGTGAAGTCAGAAATTTCTTTCATGCATATTTATGCATATCTTGCCCCATTGTATGTAGTTTTGATCGACAAGAAGTGTGCCAATTTGTAAGCTAGTCTACAATTACCCAGATAGTGTTGTAACCTATAAGCATTCAAAGCAGCCCAGTCACAAAATACAGGGTAACTCTTTCCCGGTTCTACCCTGGAATCTCTAGTTATTGTAGCAGGCCCGAGGGTCATTGATGTTAAACCTTGTCCTGCCGACAAGTTAAATAACTCAAAATAAAGTTAGCAAATTGTTTTTCCTTCCCACCAATACAATTGCTTTAGGTCACGGTGCATTTTTGTGTATCTGAAGTCTTGGGCTTCATCAAGAATTTATAACACGTCTCAACCCATTTACATTTTCTACACATAATCCATTACCTAGTTGAAAAGAAAAAAGAAAAAAAATACCCTCACTGCAGGAGTCATATCTTTGAGTTTACCAGCTAGGACGTCATCTTAGTATTTACACAATCGCTCATCCTCATATTCACTAGCCTATATGCACTCTATATCAAGCTTGATCAGAATCAAATAATGTTATTTTTTAAAAAATTTCACATTGAATCTAATATGTGTACCCTCTAGTCTATGATATCTTTATTCACAAGTATCTTTACAGGATCTATATGTGCCAAATTACCTTTATTTTTTTTTTCAATGCATAAGCCATAATTTCCCTAACAATACAAAATAGTATAGCTATATTTTCAGTAGTTCCCTTTATCGGTATTGCTAAATATTTATATCTCTGTTGGTTTTAAATGTACTTCAGCTCTTGTGATATGTATAAATCTTATAGGTTTCTTAGTATAAATAATGTCTCTAAATCCTAAAAGGAAATACAATGTGACCATCTCCTAAAAGGAAATACAATGTTATTTTTTTGAATTTTTCACATTGAATCTAATATGTGTACCCTCTAGTCTATGATATCTTTATTCACAAGTATCTTTACAGGATCTATATGCGCCAAATTACCTTTAGTTTTTTTTTTCAATGCATAAGCCATAATTTCCCTAACAATACAAAATAATATAGCTATATTTTCAGTAGTTTCCTTTATCGGTATTGCTAAATATTTATATCTCTGTTGGTTTTAAATGTACTTCAGCTCTTGTGATATGTATAAATCTTATAGGTTTCTTCGTATAAATAATATCTCTAAATCCTAAAAGGAAATACAGTGTGACCATCTCCAGATCATGAGTGGCATAATCTGCGAGCTTCTTCAATTTCCTTAAAGCATAAGCTACGACCATTCTGCATGAGAAAATATCAATCCTACCCTCAAGGCATTGATCTCGCCCAAACTCACACAAAAATTAGGTAGTGAGGCGGTCGAAGCAATAATAAACCCAACACGAATTGGAATCGAATCCACATGGAGTTAGAATTTGGATTAGGGATATAACTAGAGTAAATGTATGATGTGCCTTAGATTGGACTTCCACATATTCATAGGTTGTTTTCTAAATCTACTTTTAGCTAATGGTTGCAAATAATAACTAGAAGACAATATTTTTTCTTTTGAGTGTTTTTCAAATGATAAAGGAATGGGTCGTGACTTTCACCTAGGTGGCTACCTAACGGGTTGGAAATTATAGGGCAAGTTTGATTTATCGGGTTCGTGGTATAGCAATCACACGCAATTGCTTACTCTATACCTCTCGGTAGTTTGAGTGATTTTGCCCGATTTGGCTTTCTCAAGCCCAAATGGGTATTTGCACAAATCACGTGATGTATGCTCAACTCGGGTCTTACTATCTCTAGATTTGACCCTTTAATTGGGGCTATCAATTTCTTGAGTTCACCCCAATTCCTTGTTAGCCAAGTTTTCTTAAATCTAGTCTCTCTTTCTCAAGCAAAGACTAGGTCAAATAGGCATGAATCAATGTTTGAAACCATTAATTAAGCATAAACAAGGCTAAATAACACTAACCAAATCACAAACAAGACCTAAAATTAAATGCTCATTAAGTACCCACACTAAGGTTGGGCCACAACCTTAGCTAAAGATTTAGCTACTCATGAAAAATAAAGAATTACCAGACGAAATTAAGATAGAATGCGTATTCACTGATTAATTAAAGAAAATATAATGTTAAGAAGTCAATCTAGTATAAATTTACTCAAAGAAGTAAAGAAAATCGTTCAGGTGCACCTCTGCAAACTAAACTTAACCTAAAAATGACAAAAAGTTGTATTTATACTAAACAAAAAATATCTGACAAAAATACCCCTACGGAGGTTGTGCGGCCGCATAATTCTGGCGCGGTCCGCACAAAGAGCTTCTGCGGCCGCACAAAAGTATTGCGGTCTGCAGTCTTGGGAATTTGGGCTTGGAACTTGAGGTCTTCTGCGGTCCGCATAAAAAATGGGTGTGGCCGAACTTAGGATTATGCCTCCGCACAAAAGTGATGCGGTACACACTTCTAAACTTTCCAGCTCTCTGAATCTCAACCCTGCGATCCGCATAATAATGGATGTGGACGCACCTTTTTGGTGCAGTCCGCACTGTATGAGCTGGCTAAAACCTCCTCTCTGAATCTCACTCTGGGGCCGCACTAGAATTGTGCGGTCCGCACTGCTAGCCTTTTTGCCCAGTTTTGGCTCTTATTCACTTTTGAATCCTTTATGAGTTGATTTTGACTTCTTTGGCTTGTTTTCCAATATTCCTGCAAGTAAGCACATTTCATTAGTTTTCGGGAATACCTTTAAGCATTTTTGAGCTAAAACGCAAGTAAAAGAGAGCAAATAAGCGGTCAAAATTCCTACTTATCAACTCCCCCAAACTTAAGCTTTTATTTGTCCTCAAGTAAATAAGGCAATTACCACCTCCATTAGAAAAAGGGATATCTCAGCCAGCCTAGGGTGAATCAATTACACCTCAATTGGGACCAATAATTACCCACAACACACATGAATTATCAAAAACCCATGATATGACTTTTTGAGTACCATAGTTCTAGTGTGACTCTAGAGCATCAAGAGTAGACTCTATTCATCAAGGAAGCTCGCTCTTTCATTTAGGTCATTGTGGATCCCAAACTCCTCCTCCTCTACTCTCCATTAGCAAATCTCACTTTAGAATGTAATACTCGAAGCAAGGATTGTGAAAAGTTCGCTCATTTCTCTCAAAAGAACGTCACAAGCCCGACTCTAAGTACCATAAACTTGCCCCTCATGTAAACCACCACTAATGTAAGCTCACTCAACTTGAAATCATGTAGGGCTTTTGCGGGATGTAATGAAGGCTTTTGGATTAAGGTAGGACTTGTTGGAAAAGAATGGTTTCATCTTTCCTTAAGCACTCCATTTTCTCTTTTGGCTCATACTTTCTCGACTCTTTGAGTCATTTTCTTCTTCCCCGGGGGAACTAGAGAGACATAACGTCACTCTTTCTTAAACATGACATTTATTTTTTTTCTCCTTTTCTATTTACTTCAGCTTTTCCTCCTTATTTTCTTTTGGATTCCCTTCAACACTTCACTTTATTCACTTACTTTTTGGCATTTTTCTGTTTGCTCTTTCTTTCTTTTCCTTGCCTTCCCTTTTCTTCATTTCTTTCTCTTCTTTGTACCTTTCATCACTTTCAAACTCCTCTTCTATTTTCCAAACTTACGTTTTTGCCAATTGTTTCTCAAGAATGCTAAGAAAATATCGGGTGCCAAGAGAGGGTCATTACAAAACGGATGAAGGCTTGTAACGTGGTTATTGAAAAAAAGGGCTTCGGCTCAAAGGGGTTGACTAGGGATATCACATTGGTAGGCCATTGAAGATTTCAAATTTCAAATTGGATCAAGGAGAGCCTACGATCATTTCTCAAGCCGAGCTACACTTAGAATTTCGCCTAGGCAAACATTCGGGGCAAGTTGTAGACCATTAGCACGGGTACTTGGACTTGCAACTAAACATCTCACCTCTCACGCTTCTGGATTGCTAAAGAGAACATAGTAGAGCGCTCACAACAACCCTAGATAAGATTGAGAATCACAAATGGCTCGATTTGAACCACTCGATGACGGCTAAGTCAACACAAGAGTCAAAAGAGTCACAACTAGAGCTATTATCTGCCAACAACTTGTTTATAACCATACGATCATAGGTAAATGTGTTGGTACCAAGTAAAGCATGCTTGAGACCCCTTTTATTCATTACTACTATATTTACCAAAACATAAAAGAAAAGAAAACGGACTCAATCCCTTAA